CTCTTAAAAAAAATGTTTGCACAAATTCTCCCCTTTACTGACCCTGCTGTTGGGCGGGAGGCCGGTTAGCAGACTGGGTTCTCTGCACCATTGGAAATCTGCATTCATTCTGGTGCCTCAGTCTGGTATCTGATTTCTGTCACCTCAGTGTCTCGGTTGGAATAGAGTCAGGACAAGCCCCATTTTAATGCCATGTTCATGTTTTCATTCTGCAAGAGCACTGCTATCTGTTATTGCAGGCCACAGAATAAAACCCCTTCTCCTCACAAGCCCTCAGCATCCTACTGCGTGCCATCACATTTGATTCTGGGCAGAGGAAGCTGGAGGAGACCTTTGTCCCTTCATGGGGAAAGGGGTCCGAGAGAGGGTGGGTGCCCAGCTCGTGGTCTGGTTCTGCCTTTCTGGGCACAGCCCCTGGACCTTGTCACCTCTTGAGTGGTCTTGTCAGTGGGGAGTTATCGATTTGAACCGCCCTTCCTCTATTGTAAGGAAATTGCCAGAAATGTGAAAAAAGCTTTGGGTCAGCGTAGGTTTGTAGGAGGGGCTAGAGGACCTGCTGTTCCTGAGCAAGCTTGTGGGAGCCCGGTGTGTGGTCTGAGCCAGAGGGCAGGTCTCACGTGGGAGGGAGGCCTTCAGAGGTGACGGTGATGTTCGGTGACCGTTGGACGGGTGTATACATATCTTCAAACTCATCAAGATGTATACTTTAAGTATGTGCTTTCGGTATGTCAACCTTACCTTAATAATGAAAAAGGAACAGGAGCTCACAGTGTGCCCCTGTCCGTGCCCGGGGGGTAACGTAACCCCAAAGAGTGGAAGACACAGCAAATCTCCACACTCATCTATGCTTTGACAATCTTTCTTCTATTCTAAATATTCCAAATTCCCAGGGTGTTATTATATTTGGAAAAATAGTGTTTATGGAATCAAACAGATGCTCCGTGTTTTCCCAGACCAGTGGCAGCTCCTGATTTGGGAGTTAATTGACGAGGCAACAGTCCTGCCTCAGGGGAGACCCTTCACCAACTTTTAATGAGCTCCCGATTAAGGGCAGCCCAGACACCTGTGTGGCAGTGGCCCCAAGGTGGTGCTGGAGCCCGAGGGCAGGTAACACGAGATGCCGGAGCAGGCCAGCAGGGGTCAGCGCACCGTGTGGCTGCCAAGGTGCCCCTTGTCCCCGGGGCGATGCTGACGAGGGAAACAGGCTGAGGCTTGTGGGGAGCACACTCCCTCCCCCTCCCAGGATGCCAGCCCGGGGGATTGAGTCCCTGCCACTGAGGCCAGGCCCTGAGTGACCACCCGCACGCAGCCTGGCCCTGGCCATGAGCCCAACTCCACAACCCTGGATGCACCCACAGGCCTCAAGGTCCCCGAGGTTGATGCCAGCAGAGTCCAGAGGTTAGGCTTTTGCTCAAAGCCATCCTGCTGTCACAGCTCCCTCCTGTCCTCACTGGCGGGGGCAGCAAACAGCCCCAGCTTGGCTCTTGCCAAGGCAACTATTTCCAGAACGCTTGGCGGGGGCAGGGAGTGGGGCAGCCTGCACTTTGCCTATCAACCTGTGGAAAACCCCTTGTTTACAGAGGGGGAAACTAAGGCACTGTTTACAGACGGGGAAAGCACAGAGCACCTGCTAAGAATACCCAGTGTGCAGCCAGAACCTGCCCTGGGGTGCTTGGGGCCACCGCTGCCCCCAGGTGCTCTCGCAGGGTGGGCACTCTGGAGACAAGCCTGGTGTGGGGCTGGGCCCTGGGGAAGATGCACTCGAGCTGTGCATGAGAAAGAGGTGCCAGGCATAGGCTAAGGGCAAGAGGACCTGCTCAGGGGGCTGGTCACTGCCCAGGACCACCCTTGGGGCCCTCAGCAGCCCCAGTCTCATGCCAGTTGCATAGTTAACAAGAGGGTCCTTGCAGGCCTGAGCCGGAGGAAGGCTGGGTGAGGGCAGAAGTAACCTGAGTGTCGGAGGGTTGCCCGCTGGGCAGAGGGCTCACCCTCTGCTCTCCCCATTGGTGCGTGGGCAGGCGGGCGGGGGCTCTCCAAGGTGGTGGATCCTCCTTGCTGCCCCGCACCAGATGCATCTGCTGCCTGGATTGTGAGCCCGAGTGCCAGTGGCTGCAAGTCAGCTGACGGCCAGCAGGGCTTGGTGGACTCACTGTCCCGGAAGAGAGGAGGTGGAGGGTACCGCATGGCCACAGTTCGAGGCAAGGATGGCAGCCGGAGGAGCAGGACAGCAACAGAGGTGCCTCCTTCCCACGGCAGGGGGGCTGGGGCAGCCTCCATGCCTGTGCCCTGGGGTCTCTGCTGGGCTTGCTGGTGCTGACCACTCCGAATGACCAGAGTCAGGGTCACCTGGGCAGGGCAGTCTTGCACACTTGGGGTCCCACAGTGGGCTGGGGGACTGCTTTCAGGTCTGGTGTTGATGGATGGCCAGGCTGTCTTCCTGGGCCAGCCAAAACCTGCCTCCTGGCCAGTGCCATGGACATGCTGGAGCTGCATGAGGGTTTCAGCAGGTCCCCAGCGCCTCATGGCCCTCACCCCTGTTCTCGCTACATCTCCAGGAGTTAGGCAGTGGAAAGCAAGTGGCTCAGTCCAAAAGAGACCCTCACTAGCAGGTCAGAGGGTCAGATGGCCACAGGCAGTGCCCCCACCCAGGGACACAGTCCTGCCTGGAGGGTCCTTGGAGTCATCCCATGCTCACCCTCCTGGTCTCTGGACTGCTTCAGGGGGGCATCCTGGAATCTGCTCAGACCCCTTGGGTGAGTGACCCTAGCCATGCTATGTCCCCGTAAGCTGCCCTGGGCAAGTGGATTCTCCCGAGACAGGTTGATTCCTCCAACCCTGCCGTCCCTCACGAGGAGTCAGATCCCCTGGGGGGCCCCCAAGATGGACTCATGATGGGACCCCTGGCAAGATATGTGGGATTCCGTGGGATCTGGGTGGCCCTCACCCTGCACAGCCGTGAGGGTCTGATGCTCCTCCACACATGGGGGAAGCAGGCCAGCCAACCTCAGCTCCAGGTACACGGCAAGAATGGGGAATTCGGGACTGGAGAACTGTGACAAACCTGGATAGGGCAGGACTTGCTGAGGCCTCTATTTAGTCTTTGTAACAGTCATCTTCAACAGTGAAAATGGTTTTCTAAATGAGGCTCGTCCTGGAGTCAAGGCTAAGAAAAACAGCTCCAGTTCCCCGGGTCAGGACCCAACACCCCAGGCAGGGTGCTAGGCTTGCAGGGGCCTGTGCTCATGAGCAGTGCAGTGGACTCAGGTCCTGGTGCAGCCTGGGCAGTGGTCTGTGTCCAGCTGAATTCTGGAGGTGCCAGCTGAAAAGCACTCTGGTCCCCAGGAAATGGAGTCATGGGGGCCCTGCTGAAAGGACTGCTTCTTCTAGGACATGGCCCACACCAGTCCCACTCCTAGAACCTGGGGACAGGCAGGGGACTGGTGTATCGGCACTGCTGGGGGTTTGCTTTTGCCTGAGCGCTCACTGCATGGCACTTGGCCACAGAAGGCAGGGGCTCACGGCCAGAGCAGGTGTGGCTACAGTGCGGCTTATTTGTTACTGACGGGCACTGTTAAGGATAACTTTGCGCACCGTGGGTCTGGGGAGGGGACGCAGCCAAGGGACGCCCAGCCCATCAGGAACAAGGGTGAGTGTTCCAGGGGCTGGTTCAGGTGGTGAGTGTGCACACACGTGTGAGCCCAGTGCCCACGTATGTATGCTGTGTGTGCGACTGTGTGTGTGATGTGTGCACCTGTATGTGGCAGGGGGGAGGACGGGCGCAGGCAGAAAAGTGCACATGGCTGCTGTGGCTCCTGAGGGCAATCCTCCTAGAGCAGTTCCAGCATCTGGACACTGTCTGGGAGAAGCGTTGACCAGCCGGGCCCCTCCTGCCTCGCTGCCGGCTCTGGGCTCCACAAGCATGAGGTCACTGCCGGCCTCCGTCCAGCTACCCCCGTGGACACACATCGGGTGCTTGTTGGCCCAGGGCAGCCAGCGGGCAGGGTCCAGCCTGGGGAGGTGCTGGGCACTAAGGAACCGAGCTCAGCTCGAATTAAACCCCCTCCTCACTGGTGCCACAGCTCCTCCCCTTCCCCGCAGACAGCCACCCTCCGGCACCCCCTCCTCTCCAGCAGGTCCCGCCCAACAGTGCGACCCCCAGCTTCCAGACAGGAGGGGGCGCTGGTGATAAAACTGTTTGCAATTTCACACTTCAAGGCCCCCCTGGCTGCCCAGTTTCCAGCTAACAAATAATCCAGGGTGACAGCCCCAGGCAAGGAGAGCAGGGCCGCCTATGGGCTTCCTCTGACAGTTGTGTTGGGGGTGTGGCGGGGGGGCGGGATTTACTAGGCACATAGGTAAGCATGTTTCACTAGGAATCAATGTGGTTTGCTGGATGAAAATGCTAAAAATTGGGCCATACATAATTTCATTTGTGAAAACTTGACAATTCTTCTTCTTTCCCAGTCTTCTTGAGTCTAGAGTAAGGACCACCCCTCAGGTGACTAGGAGTCTCGAATAAGGACCCCCCCCTCAGGTGACAAGGAATCTAGAATGAGGACGTGCTCCCCCATGGCAAAGAGTCCAGAGTAAGCACCCCCCCCCAGGTGACAAGGAGTCTAGAATGAGGACATGCTCCCCCATGGCAAAGAGTCCAGAGTAAGCACCCCCCCAGGTGACAAGGAGTCTAGAATGAGGAAGTGCCCCCCCATGGCAAAGAGTCTAGAATGAGGAGATGTTCCCCCTCCCCAGGTGGCAAGCAACTGATAACCTGGGTCCAGTCTCCTTCTGAGCGACTTCCCGAAGAGGGCAATATCCATGGTCTACTCGCTGGCTCCCACAGGGACGCTAGGCCTGGCTGGAGTCCTGGGATAGACACAAGGTGAGTAGAACCCAAAGAGGGGGGCCAGGGCCGTCCCCTCTGTTCCTGGGCCTCCAGTGGGCACTTGGGGTGGGAGGTCCCTCTTACTGGCCTGCAGTGGTCTGTGTCCCAACAGAGCCTCATGGCCTGGGGCGGCAGCCAGAACCTCTCCACGCAGGGGCTGTTCATCCTGCTGGGCTTCCCGGGGCCGCAGGGCCTGCACGTGGGGCTCTTCCTCCTCTTCCTGGTCATGCACGTGCTTACGGTGGTCGGCAACCTGGCCACCATCTCCCTGGTCGGGGCGCACCGGCGCCTGCAGACGCCCATGTACTTCCTCCTCTGCAACCTCTCCTTCCTGGAGATCTGGTTCACCGCGGCCTGTGTGCCCAAGACCCTGGCCACGTTCGCCCCGCGCAGCGGGCCATCTCCTTCACCGGCTGCGCGCGCAGATGTCCTTCGTCGTCTCGCTGGGCTGCGCCGAGTACTTCCTGCTGGCTGCCGTGCCTTACGACCGCCGCCCGGCCATCTGCCTGCCACCGCGCTACAGCAGCCTCAGGACCCCCGGCCTCTCCGCCCGCCTCGCTCTGGGCTCCTGGCTGTGCGCCTTCTCCGCCGTCACCGTGCCGGCCACCCTCTCCGCCCGCCTCTCCTCCTGCGGCTCCCGCCTTATCAACCACTTCTGGGACATCGCGCCCTGCGTCGTGCTGTCCTGCAGCGACACGCGGGCCGTGGAGCTGGCGTCCTTCGGCGTCCTTCCTCGTCATCCTGGGCTCCTGCTTCATCCCGCTGGTCTCCTACGCCTACATCATCGGCACCGTCTTCAGGATTCGCTCCGCCGCCGATCGGCACAGAGCCTTTTCCACCTGTTCCTCCCACCTCACGGTGGTCCTCATCTGGTATGGCTCCATCATCTTCCTGCTTGTGAGGACCTCAGTGGAGAGCTCGCTGGACCTGACCAAGGCCGTCACAGTGCTTAACACTGTTGTCACCCCGGTGCTGAATCCCTTCATATACACCCTGAGGAACAAGGACATCAAGGAGGCTCTGTGGAGGTGGGTGCAGGGGATGTGAGCCCCTCGGAGACCACCCAGCAAGACTGGGACATCTGACTGTCCCCTCTGTGGGAGCCAGTTCTCAGCATCATTCTCTCTGCATGGACTGAAAACAGCACCCTGATATCGCAGCGTGGTCCGGGGCTCTTGGGTGGCAGGGGGCTTTGGGCTGGGTGCTTGGCAGTGTGGAGGAGCTCCCCCACCCCATCCTGGCCTCAGGGAGTTTCCACCTGTCTCACAGACCTTGCCTAGGGTGCTCAGCCCCTGGAGTTCCAAACCCAGATTCTGGAAGAGAAATGGGGTCCTAAGAAGCACTATATGTACTTCAGATACTGACTGCCCACCAAGTACTGGGCACTGGACTAGCCTGTGAGCCCCCAACCTGGTCTGGGTCTTGGGGGGCTGATAGCTGTCTTGCTAGTGAGGGGTGAGCTGTCTGCCCTTGGGATTTTCCCCCACTGCCAACACCTGTGGTCTCTTGAATCTTCCCTCATTGGTGGTGGGGGGAGGTTGACCATGAAGGAGAGAACTCAGAGAAATGTGTGTGCAGACCTTGCTGAGGAAGCCTGGCAGCCTTTGAGGGCCATGTGGAGTCAGTGTGTGGGGCTGTCCACCAGGGCTCACCTCCTTCTGCAGTCTGCATTGTGGGATGTACAGGTGTCCTAGGGAACCGGACTTGGTTCGGCCTCTGAGTGAGTAAGTCGTGGGAGGTCCTCCAGGTCCAGAACTTCTGTGAGAGGCCTGGTCAGGCCCCACAGCCCATCAATGCTTGGGCTCCAAGCCTCTGCCAGCATGGCTTGGGCAAGTCACGTAACTACTGTGAACCTCTGTGTCTTCATCTGCAAATGGAGACCGTGAATGTGTGGTCTCATGGAGCCCTAAGGAGTATTAGATGAATCGGTGTGTTCAAAGTGCTAAGCACAGGGTCTGATGGGAGCGAGTGCTCAGGAGATGCTGTTGTTGCCATTGTCCCCACATGCAGCAGGCACAGTCGTCTCTCTCTTTCCACCTCACACACGGGCCAGGCAGAACTGACAGGCGCCAGGCCCAGGGGGTTCTGGTGAGTGCTCATTCTCCGCAGTAACCAAGCGCCCACAACAGAGCTGCGCCTACAGGTGCTGGTCAACACCTCCCCAGGGGGTTGAGGAACCGTCTCCCTCCAGTGGGAAGTTGGGGTTCCCAGAGACCCCCCTTGGCCGAGGGCCAGAGCAAAAGTTTACTCTCTCTCTCTCTGACGTGTACACTCAGTCATCTGTAGCTAATGATGCTTGTGAAGTCTTTGTGCTTTTGTGAAGTTATTTTCTAGATAATGAATTAAAGACTGTTTTCCTAAGTGGCTGCACCATTTTGCATTCCTTCCAGCAATGAATGAGAGTTCCTGCTGGTCTGCATCTTTCCCAGCATTTGGCGTTGTCAGTGTTTTAGATTTTAGTCATTCTACCGGGTGTATAGTGGTATCTCATGGTTAATTTGCAATCCTTAATAAGCATTTTTTCCTTAATAAGCGTTTCATTTTATTTTTCATAAAATAAGCTTATTTTATCTGTACTTCTTCTTTGGTGCGGTGTCTGCTAATTTTTAAATTGGGTTCTCTGTTTTCTTATTGTCTTTTGGGGTTTTTATTAATAGCCAATTTATTTATTTATTTTTATTTATAATTTTTTTATTATGTTCAGTTAGCCACTGTATAGTATTTTGATGTAGTGTTCAATGACTCATTAGTTGCATATAACACCTAGTGTTCATCACAACAGGTGCCCTCCTTAATGCCCATCACCTGGCTACCCCATCCTCCCATCCCCTCCCCTCTGAAACCCTCAGATTGTTTCCTGGAGTCCAGAGTCTCTCATGGTTCATCTTCCTCTCTGATTTCTCCCCTTTCAGTTTTCCCTCCCTTGCCCTATGGTCCTTTGTGCTATTCCTTATGTACCTCATATGAGTGAAACCATATGATAATTGTCTTTCTTTGCTTGACTTATTTCACTTAGCATAATCCCCTCCAGTTCCGTCCATGTCAATGCAAATGGTGGGTATTTATCCTTTCTGATGGCTGAGTAATATTCCATTGTATATATGTACCACATCTTCTTTATCCATTCGTCTGTTGAAGG